AGGCACCGCAGGCCAGCCTCTCCCTTCTGCCATCCACTGACAACACCAAAGAAGCATGTGGCCGTGTCTCGGGGCAGTGTTGCCCGGCGGGGAGTAGAGAGAGCCCTGTGACGGACATTGATAGCTTCATCAAGGAGTTGGATGTTTCTGCAGCGAGGTCTCCGTCTTCCCAGACGGGGGACAGTGGCTGTCAGGAGGGCAGTGCTCAGGGCCGCCCACCAGCCGGGGCTGGAGGTGGGAGCTCCTGCCGTGCCGAACCAGTCACGGGGGGCCAGACCTCCTCCCCAAGGAGGGCCTGGGCTGCTAGTGCCCCCCCTCACCCACAGTGGGCCTCCCAGCCTTCGGTTTTAGATTCAGTTAATCCCGACAAACATTTTACTGTGAACAAAAACTTTTTGAGCAACTACTCTAGAAATTTTAGCAGCTTTCATGAAGACAGCACCTCCCTATCAGGCCTGGGCGATAGCACAGAGCCGTCTCTGTCGTCCATGTATGGCGATGCTGAGGATTCTTCTTCTGACCCTGAGTCACTCACCGAAGCCCCACGAGCTTCCGCCAGGGACGGCTGGTCCCCTCCTCGTTCCCGTGTGTCTTTGCACAAGGAAGATCCTTCGGAGTCGGAAGAGGAACAGATTGAAATTTGTTCCACAAATGGCTGCCCCAATCCACCCTCGAGTCCTGCTCATCTTCCCACCCAGGCTGCCATCTGTCCTGCCTCAGCCAAAGTTCTATCATTAAAATACAGCACTCCGAGAGAGTCAGTGGCCAGTCCCCGTGAGAAGGCTGCCTGCTTGCCAGCCTCATACACTTCAGGCCCAAGCTCTTCCCAGCCATCTTCACTCTTGGAAGTGAGCTCTCAGGAGCATGAAACTCATGTGAACATAAGCACTTCACAGAACCACAGGCCCTCGTGTGCAGAAGAAACGACGGAAGTCACCAGCGCTAGCTCAGCCATGGAAAACAGTCAGCTGTCCAAAGTAGCCAGGCATTTTCACAGTGCGCCCATCATTCTCAGCTCCCCCAACATGGTAAACGGCTTGGCACGTGACATGCTAGATGATGAAACCCTGAATCAGTACGAAACAAGCATTAATGCAGCTGCCAGTCTGTCCTCCTTCAGTGTGGATGTCCCTAAGAATGGAGAATCTGTTTTGGAAAACCTCCACATCTCTGAAAGTCAAGACCTCGATGACTTGCTACAGAAACCCAAGATGATGGGTAGGAGGCCCATCATGGCCTGGTTTAAAGAAATGAATAAACATAACCAAGGCACACATTTGAAGAGCAAAACAGAGAAGGAACCTCTGATGACTGTCAGAAGTCCCGACTCCAAGATTCACATAGTGAGTTCAAGCCAAAAAAAGGGCGTTGCTGTGCCTCCTAGCCCTCCTCAGCCGAAAACCAATCTGGAAAATAAGGACCTGTCTAAGAAGAGTCCGGCAGAAATGCTTCCGACTAACGGTCAGAAGCCAAAGTGTGGTCCGAAGCTGAAGAGGCTCAGCCTCAAGGGCAAGGCCAAAGTCAGCTCCGAGGCCCCTGCTGCGAATGCCGTGAAGGCTGGGGGGACGGACCACAGGAAACCCTTGATCTCACCCCAGACCTCCCACCAAACACTTTCTAAGGTGGTGTCACAGCGGCTCCATGCAGCCGACCGCGAGGACCCTGACAGAAACACCACAGCCGCCCCCAGGTCCCCGCAGTGTGTGCTGGACAGCAAGCCACCTCTTGCCACCTCTGGGTCCCTGAAACCCTCAGTGTCTGACACGAGCATCAGGATGTTTGTGTCGCCCCTGACCTCTCCCAAGCCTCCTCCTGAGCAAGGCATGTGGAGCAGGTTCCACATGGCTGTCCTCTCTGAACCTGACAGAGGTTGCCCAGCCACCCCTAAATCTCCTAAGTGTGGAGCAGAGGGCAGGGCGCCCCGTGCTGACTCTGGGCCGGGGAGTTCCACAGCATCTAGGAACGGCGTGTCCCTGGCAGGGAACAGACAGAGTGAGCAGCACCTGGCCAGCCACATGGACTCGGCAGCAGACACAGCCCAACCCAGGCCAACTGGCGAAAAAGGAGGCAGCATAGTGGCCAGCGATCGCCTTGAAAGAACAAACCAGCTGAAAATTGTGGAGATTTCTGCTGAAACAGTGCCAAAGACTGTATGTGGTAACAAGCCAGCTGAAAGTGACAGACAGGGAGGGTGCTTGGCCCAGGAGAAGAGTGAAATCAGGCTCTGTCGCCAGGTCACAGAATCATCCACAAGTCACCCGTCCTCACTCCCGTCTCATGCCCCACAGGCGGAGCAGGAAATGTCACGATCATTCGGCGTGGCGAAACTGGTGTCCTCCTCCTCCTCCCCTCAAATGCCCATTAGAAAGGCAGATTCCTCCCAGGGAAAATCAAGCCTGATGTCAGACTCCCTAGGGGTGCCCAGAAGTGGCATTCTAGGGGGGCCCTCGGGGGAGGACCATCTCTACTTCACCCCAAGGCCAGCAACCAGGACCTACTCCATGCCAGCCCAGTTCTCAAGCCATTTTGGACGGGAGAGTCACCCCCCACACAGTCTGGGTCGCTCTCCTCGTGACAGCCACGTCCCTGTGACAAGCAGTGTTGTCCCCGAGGCAAAGGCATCCAGAGGTGGTCTTCCCAGCCTGGCTGACGGACACGGCGTATATAGTGTAAAGCCGCTGCTGGAAACATCGAGGAATCTTCCAGCCACAGATGAAGGGGATATCATTTCAGTCCAGGAGACGAGCTGCCTAGTCACGGACAAAATCAGAGTCACCAGACGACACTACTGCTATGAGCAGAACTGGCCCCACGAATCTACCTCATTTTTCTCTGTGAAGCAGCGGATCAAGTCTTTTGAGAACCTGGCCAATGCTGACCGGCCTGTAGCCAAGTCCGGGGTTTCCCCATTTTTGTCGGTGAGCTCCAAGCCTCCCATTGGGAGGCGGTCTTCCGGCAGCATTGTTTCAGGGAGCCTGGGCCACCCAGGTGATGCAGCAGCAAGGTTGTTGAGACGCAGCTTGAGTTCCTGCAGCGAAAACCAAAGTGAAGCCGGCACCCTCCTCCCCCAGATGGCCAAGTCTCCCTCAAGCATGACACTGACCATCTCCCGGCAGAACCCACCGGAGACCAGTAGCAAGGGCTCTGATTCGGAACTAAAGAAATCACTTGGTCCTTTGGGAATTCCCACCCCAACAACGACTCCGGCTTCTCCCGTTAAGAGGAACAAGTCCTCGGTGCGCCACACGCAGCCCTCGCCGGTGTCCCGCTCCAAGCTCCAGGAGCTGAGAGCCTTGAGCATGCCTGACCTTGACAAGCTCTGCAGCGAGGATTACTCAGCAGGGCCGAGCGCCGTGCTCTTCAAAACTGAGCTGGAGATCACCCCCAGGAGGTCACCCGGGCCTGCTGGAGGCGTTTCGTGTCCTGAGAAGGCCGGGAACAGGGCCTGTCTAGGAGGAAGTGGCCCTAAAACCAGTGCTGCTGAGACACCCAGTTCAGCCAGTGAGGTGGGTGAAGCTGCGCAGGATCTGCCTTTTAGAAGAAGCTGGTCAGTTACGTAAGTATCTGTCTGCACTTTTATTTCAGATAAACTTGTTTCATTTTGAAATAGTTTTAGAGTTATAGAAAAGTTGAAAAGATAATGCAGAGTTCCCACTTTTTTTTTTTTTTTTTTTTTTTTTTTGAGGCGGAGTCTCGCTCCATCGCCCAGGATGGAGTGCAGTGGCACGATCTCCGCTCCTTGCAACCTCTGCCTCCCGGGTTCAAGCGATTCTCCTGTGTCAGCCTCCTGAGTAGCTGAGATTACAGGCGTGCACCACCATGCCTGGCTAATTTTTGTGTTTTTAATAGAGATGAGGTTTCACCATGTTGGTCAGGCTGGTCTCCTAACCTTGTGATCTGCCTGCCTCGGCCTCCCAAAGTGCTGGGATTATAGGCGTGAGGCACCGCGCCCAGCCCCCACTTACTTCTTACCCACTCTTCCTAATGTTCACATCTGTCAAAACCACGGTCCATTTGTCAAAAGTAAGAAATTAATGTTGGAACAATACCATTAACTACAGACTTCATTCAGATTTTGCTGAATAGATTCTGCTAATACCATTTTTCTGTTCCAGGATCCAGGATCCACATTGCATTTTAGCCTCCGTGGTTTTTAATATCATTGCTGGAAAAATAAAAGTGCCTGCAGGGAAACGTGTTTACCAAAGTGTTGCTCTGAGGAGAGGCTTCTAGAGAACATGGCACTTAAGCAAAAGCAACCTGAGAGGGGCGTGCAGGGGAAAAGAGTGCAGCGCAGGGGGGAGTTTGGACCTTTGGAGGTGGCTGGAGTTGAACGGAGAATTTCTAACAGATTTTAAAATATTTCACTTGAGGCCAGGTGTGGTGGCTCATGCCTGTAATCCCAGCACTTTGGGAGGCCGAGCCTGGTGGATCACTTGAGGTGAGGAGTTCGAGACCAGCCTGGCCAACATGGTGAAACCCCATCTCTACTAAAAATACAAAAATTAGCCGGGAGTGGTGGCGTACGGCTGTAATCCCAGCTACTCAGGAGGCTGAGGCAGGAGAATCACTTGAACCCAGGAGGCAGAGGTTGCAGTGAGCTGAGATCGCATTACTGCACTCCAGCCTGGGCAACAAGGGTGAAACTCTGTCAAAAAAAAAAAAAAAACCCGGTGGCTCAGGCCTATAATCCCAGCACTTTGGGAGACCGAGGCAGGTGGATCATTTGAGGTCAGGAGTTCAAGACCAGCCTGGCCAATATGGTGAAACCCTGTCTCTACTAAAAAATTAGCCAGGCATGGTGGCGGGTGCCTGTAGTCCCAGCTACTCGGGAAGCTGAGGCACGAGAATAGCTTGAAGCCAGGAGGTAGAGGTTGCAGTGAACTGAGATCGTGCCACTGCACTCCAGCCTGGGCGACAGAGCTGACTCCATCTCAAAAACAATAAAAATAAAAATATTTCACTTGGACCTATGTATTGAATATTTTAAAATATGTCAGAAGTGTCCTGTTAGGCTCCAGCATTGGTCCCATAACTTCTTGAGGGGATCTCTGAATTCATAGTAATTCCCCTTGCCATTGGCAGTGAATGACATTTCTGTTCAGCACTCAGGATTTATTCTTCCATTAGTTTGGAATAGAAGTTGTGACCAAAAAAGCATGACAAACAGAAAATACCTGCAATATAGTAGAAAGGAGATCATTTTAAATGCATTCTTATAAAATGAAGAAATTGCTTTTTTCTTTAATGTTCTTCAAATATATTTATATTATTTAGTTTGGATCAACTTCTGGTCTCAGCGGGGGACCAGCAAAGATTACAGTCTGTTTTATCGTCAGTGGGGTCGAAATCTACCATCCTAACTCTCATTCAGGAAGCGAAAGCACAATCAGAGGTGAGTGAAACACAGTTCAGGAACATGAACTGCGGCTGTGTGAGTGCCCGGGTATGTGCCACCCGCCCAGACAGCCGAGGAGGACCCGTCCCAAGTCCTGGAGATGGAGGACTGCCTTGGGTTGCGAGTTTCACAGCTCAGTCTGACTTTGGCCTCATGTGCTGCTAGCCAGCTTCAGAAGCTAGACCTTGTCTTGAATGTTCAGGTGCCACATGGGTGTCATCGCTGTTTTCATCCCCCAAGTAGCAACTAGTTACCATCCTCCTGACTTCTGTGTGTGGAGTTTGTTTGCAGAGAGTCCTCAGAGCAGAGCTAGACATCTTGGAAATAATGCAGAATGACCTCAAGTACCTCTGGCCACCTAACTGTAGACATAAACTAGTCAAGGGAGCCACCTGCTGGTGAGAGAAGAGTTACATCGGTGTAGTCCCGCCCTTGCCCTGAAATCCGGTGGACCCTTGAACAACATGAGGGTTGGGGCGCTGACCTTCATGCCGTGGAAAATCCGCATATAACTCTTAACTCCCCCAGAAACTTAACTACTAACAACCTACTGTTGACCGGAAGCCTTACTGATAACATAAACAGTCAATTAATACAAGTTTCTTCAGTTATATGTATTATATATTGTCTTCTTACAACAACGTAAGTTAGAGATAATAGAATGTTATTAAGAAAAATCCCAAGAGGCCAGGTGCAGTGCAGTGGCTTATGCCTGTAATCTCAGAACTTTGGGAGGCCGAGGCGGGCAGATCACTTGAGGTCAGGAGTTCAACACCAGCCTGGCCACTAGGGTGAAACCCTGTCTCTACTAAAAATATAAAAATTAGCTCGGCATGGTGGTGGGTTCCTGTAGTCTCAGCTACTCGGGAGGCTGAGGTGAGAGGATTGCTTGAACTTGGGAGGCGGAGGTTGCCATGAGCTAAGATTGCACCACTGCATTCCAGCCTGGGCGACAGAGCAAGACTTCATCTCAATTAAAAATAATAATAATAAGGGGAAGTGTATTTACTATTCATTAAGTGGAAGTGGCTCATCATAAAGGGCTTCATCCTTGTCATCTTCACACTGAGTAGGCTGAGAAGGAGGGAGGGGTTGGTCTTGCTGTCTCAAGGAGGCAGAAGAAACCCCGAGTGTGCATGATCTGTGCAGTTTGAGCCCGTGTTCAAAGGTCACCTGTAGAAGAGCATCTGAACCCTGGAGTACAAGGAATTACAGATAAAATCTTTCAGTAAATCAGCTGTGACAATAAACATTGACAGAAGAAACCATAGGTTCACATCTAGGATACTAATCTGAAGATCAATTTCTTAGGGCTATAGAGATTTGAACCCTAATGAATGAGTATTTTCTATTTAGAGAAATAAATACGAATGTTTCTTTAGTGGTAGTATACCTGGGTCACTGAAGTCATCTAAGAGTGTGGTTCCAGAAATTCAAATATTACCCAGAGAGGGGCTGTGCAGTTTCTCAGCCAAGGACCAGCCTTGGCACCTAGTGAGGAGTTGGCCAGGATGTGAGGCGAGAAGTTGGAATAGAGGAACCAGTCCCTTCAGGTTCCACTCCCTTCTGATTCTCAGCTGCTGGTTTGGGTCTGTGCAGTTAAGAAATGCCTTGACAGGAGGATCATTTGAGGCCAGGAGTTCGAGACCAGCCTCATCAACATAGTGAGACCCCCATCTCTCAAAAAAAAAAAAAAAAAAAAAGATTAAATTTAAAAAATTAGCCAGGCGTGGTGGCATATGCATGTAGCCCTAGCTACGTGGGAATCTCAAGCAGGAGAATCAGTTGGACCCAGTAGTTTGAGGCTCAGTGAGCTATGATCATGCCACCGCACTCTGGCCTGGGTGACAGAGCAAGACCCAGTCTCTAAAAGAAGAGCAAAATGTCTTGAGATGCTAAGCACTTTCGCTTTCAGTAAGAGGAGGGAATAGCCCCTCATCTCTCTTCCTCTTCCCACTTGTTATTACAATAAGGAAATACTTCATGTGTGAAAGTTGCACTCTGAGACCAGTCAAGGGGGCACAGGTGGGGTCACACGTGTCCAGGCCCCCTTTGCCCCATACATTTTAGTGTTAGATGAAATGTCAAAAGGAGAAGACCAGACTGTCCAGCCAACCACAAGCAAGATGTGCATCTTCAGGGACCTCAAACAGCAGTATGGCCAGCATGCCAGAGTGCTGCCCGAGGGGGGCTTATTCTAGGGCCTTCCTCACCCGCTACTCCTCCCGCTCACCATGAGGCAGGGTTGTGGTTTGGTTTGAAGACCATTCCTATTCATCAGAACACAGCATTCTTCTCCCTTTCTTATTTTCTCAGTGTCTTCAGAGAGGAGCGGTGAGCAGGGCTATCCTTACTCTGCCATCCTCAGTCTAGAAGTTTCCTGCCTTGCTTTTTCCAATGAGTATGGTTTGCAGGTAGTAAAAATAGAACTGCACAGAACTATTTTCTGTGTCCTTGGCAGTGCTGTGAGAGATTCGAGGCTGAAAACCCTGGCCTCCTGACTTCAACACGCCCAAACCTTGGATAGTCTTGATGGCTGATCTGGCCACGCTGAGACTGTGCTGAGGCTCTCAGAGGCAAAATGTGGCCCAGGAATCAGCTCCTAGCATATCTGTGTCCCTAAACACCACTGGAAAAAATGTGAATACATTGAAATGTTGGTGATTTGACTTGTCTTGGAATGCAGGAGGGCCTCATTTTCAAATATTGTCTCTTTGCTCCAATAAAACATTTAAATACCTGGTAAGTTTTCCTATTTTCAGCATCACATTACCTCCCAGAAGCTGGATAAAGACCATTTACTGGGCTCCGTATTCCCATTTTGGTTTGGAAAGCCTAGTCAACCTTTCTCCCCATCGATCCATGTGTGAGCACACATAGGGTTGAAGGTGCCCAAGAAGTCAACCTCCTAACTCCCCCAAAAGTTCTGTAGGACAGTCTAGGTTTTGGTTGAAGTGAACTTTGGGGATTTTTGAGACAGAGTCTCACTCCATCACCCAGGCTGGAGTGCACTGGCATGATCTCCACTCACTGCAACCTCTGCCTGCTAGGTTCAAGCAATTCTCCTGCCTCAGCCTCCCAAGTAGCTGGGATTACAGGTATCCGCCACCATGCCTGGCTAATTTTTGTATTTTTTTAGTAGAGATGGGATTTCGCCATGTTGACTAGGCTGGTCTCGAACTCTTGACCTCAGGTGATCTGCCTGCTTTGGCCTCCCAGAGCGCTGGAATTACAGACCTGAGCCACTGCGCCCGGCTATGCTTTCTATTTTATGACATCAATTAATTAATTGCACCTGAAATCCAATGAACTGAACATGGGGAGGGAGATGTAGAAAACACATGGCCTCGATATGCTGTTATCCTGCCTCTTGCCACTGACGCTTATCTTTCTGCTGTCGCCAGGACTGGCTTTGCTAAATTGTAGACTTAAAGAATTATAGAATAAAGGATTCCCATCGTGATCAAATTATGTG